GTAACTAGTTAGTTATAGTTAACTACTAATTATAGCTTAAATACGGGTGCAGTAAGATAAGATATGCAGATAATTGTTTCTCAAATAGCACAGAATGGGGGGGTTGTCGGACGGCTAGTTTCCTTAAAGCAGTTACATCTCGCCCCACAACAAATTGAAAAACAGCAATCAATATCTGAAGGCCCATACATATCTGGCTACATTCTATAACTAGTTAAAGAGAGATATATATATATTCCTATAATTAAATATACTCTGCATCCAACACGCTCGTCATCACGCTGCCATTCAACGCACTTTGCCAAGCGCCCGCCTCGTCTACTATTTCCAATTCAGTATCAGCAGGCCAGGATATGAAGCGCCTCGCACAAGGCGGAACACCCGTTCACAATGGGGCCCTTACATGGCGGATGTATATATAAAACATCCGTTGTCACAGGATTGAGAAGATATATGCAGAGATTGCATGTAGCTAGCTGACGATGGGCGGCTAAGGGAGGCACAGCCAACTAGCTGGTATGCCTCGATGGGCTACCTCAAGGCTCGGCAAGGCTCGCTCACTCACCTCAAAATTCAGAGAGGGCCAGAGGGCCAGAGGGCCAGAGGGGCAGAGAGAGGGAGAGGGAGAGCGTGGGGGTTGAAAAGTGATCACGATTCCTTTCTCCATTCTGAAGGAAAAATGCTTTGTCGCACCAATTTTGTTCAAGCTCATGGAAATAAATATCTTCTTCCATCTTGAAAACGGCATTTTCATTTATTTCATTTATTTTGTGTATCCATCTGTTTTGTTTTGTTTTATCTTCCCGCCTCACTGGTCCCTCCTCGGCCACTACCGCTGACCAAAGATGAAAGAACCAGAAGAAATCGATTGCTATCGAGTTCTGAAAGTGTCTAAAGGCGCAACGCTCCTTGATATCAAGAAGTCGTATCGTAAACGCGTTTTGGAAACTCATCCGGACAAAAACCCGGGCGCAGAAACGGCTCCATTTGTCAAGGTCATTTTTTCATTTTTATTCGTTATTTTATTTATTTATTTGTTTTTGAGGTTGGAGAAGGAGAACTTGCTTGGGTGGCCAGATATGGTGAAGCAAAACCTAACACTCGAGCCTATTTTCGCAGGTCCAAAGCGCATGGGAGATTTTGAGCAATGTGTCGAAACGATATTGTTTCGACTGCAAATACGACAGAATTAAGAGGGAATGGGACAAATACGAGGAGGTTTGCGTGCGCTCGAAAAAGACGACTGGAACACAGAAGCCCTATACAGAAAAAGATGTCCGCGAAATATTAGAAAGGCTGCGGCGCAAGAATGAAGAAGCCGACGCTCTTCGCAAACGAGAAGATGAGAGACGAGCCCGAGAGAAGCGGCAGCAGGAAGAAGAACGGAGGAAAATGGAAGAAAGGAGAAAAATGGAAGAACGGAGAAAAAAGGAAGAACAGGAACGAAAGAGAGACGAAAACAAATACCCCCGCAACCAGGACACCTTCGACTTCAGGGATATGAGAGACGTTCTTGATGATATCGAGGGACTGAGATGGGGCCGCGCAGAGAAGCCCCGCGCAACACGACTACCGACCCCGTCTCCAAGGCGAAATGATCGCAGTTACTGCCACCACGACCGCTGGTGGCCGTACGTCTATGGCGCTGGATTGTGCCAGTATTGCGATCGGTACTGCCCGCATTACTTGCTGGGCTGCCCAAGTTGCGATGCTCGAGCATGCGTGCCGTGCAAGATTCGGGAGACTAGCTATTGAAGCCTTCAGTTTCTTAAAAGCAGGAGATATTAATTTTGCACCTTGTTTGCCGTTTCGGAGTTTTTGGGGCCTGTGCCCAATTATATATACCCTTTTTCCCCCTTTTGCTTTTACTTTTTGGTTGTTTTTATATTTTATCCTTTTTCTTTACTCCTTTTGCTCTTTTTTTTCTCTTTCTTTCTGTCTTTTTTTTTAATATTTTTAGCACCATTCCAAACTCAACCCCACACCCTTCTTCTTCCGACCTCGGATTAGTATTGCGTTTCTCCTCTAAATATCTGCATTGCGTAATTGATCGAGTTGATTGACGTCTATTCGCACGAAAGCAACTACTTTTAATAGGCTGATAAAAACCTTTCCAACAATTTCCACGGATTCCTCAACAGTTCTTGAGGGAAGGAGGCCGGCATGGCCACTTAACAATGGCCATGGGAGTGTCTCTGGATGAATATTCTACCCGATGATACCTTTTTCAGAGGGGGATACGGGGCAATTCCAGTCGTAGCCGCACGATTGACAGAACGCAACACGCGTCTGCTTGTGTTTTAGGCAGACATATAAAAAATTGGTATTCTGGGGAAGTAGAATACGAGACACAGAAGCTTCCTTGGCAGTGCTATTATTAGCTCCTGTTTTTAAACTTAAGGTTATCGCTCCCGCTTTAGCCTCATCCAGGAGTCAGCAAGCAACCTGAGTGTTATTAACGAGTAAGTGCGATTGCTGCTGCATCGAAGGTGGATCTCATACTAGTATGCAACCGATTCTTCGTACAGTGCATTCAACGCTAACGGCCATACAGGATTGTACACCTAATGGAGAGTTATCTATCTTAGATCGAAGACGCGTAATGAACGCCGTGACGATTCCTCTCCCCTATGTGAACTCCAACCTTGAACAGGTGGATGTTCTCGTATTCAGAGGCTGAGGAAGGCTCGTTTCTTTCTAAGTTCATTGGACAAAATAAACTCTTGACTGAGAGAATTCATAGCCGGGCGACCGCGATTGAGCAATCATGGGTATTCTACTGCTGATGATATTTTTCTTCTTTTTTTTTTTGGTTTTGATTGACGATTCTTTTGTCCGTTTATGGATGAAAAGGCTTTGAAAGCCCTTCCAAACCAAAAGGCAGACTGCTGACGTCCGCAGTTAAGCAATTTTCGTATAACATTCTAGTTACGACGTCTTCTTACTTGTGTTGGCGGGTGAGGCCACAACTTGACTCTTCGCAAGGCACACTAAAATGCTACCGTGATGGATTGGCATTGTGTATTCTTGAGCCATGCAGGGGGTGGTGACGGGGAACGGCACAGTATGCGCGTCTCATGGGGATGCGATATCATATCCTCCCTTCCAGGAGCACTTTGGCTGCTGTCATATATATATAGATCGACGAGATCTATCATCAATGGGTTCTTGGGACGAGTTTTAAACCCATGTGAACATAATTGTTCGAATAGGCCACTCGATAATTCCCTCCAAGATTACTTCTTAAACACCCTCCTCCTGTCTTCAACTATGACTATCTGGGAATCAATCCTCGGGATTACGGGCTTCAAAAAGTCGTACAACTTTATCCTTTTCTTCATCTTTGCCGGAGGCCTATTCGGCTTCACCCTCGCACGCCTGCAATACCTCGACATCACCGGACGTTATGCCAGCGGCACCGCTCCTGGTGAATGGTTCCACCAACACACTGGCTTCAGAAAGGTCGGCATCACCCTTCATCTGGGCACCATCCTTCCCTGTGCAATCCTCTTGATCTTCCAATTCATCCCCTCAATCCGACACCGAGCGATCCTCTTCCACCGCATCAACGGATATATCATCATCACTCTATTCCTCATCTCCAACGCTGGCGCCTTGATGATCGCCCGCCACGCTTTCGGCGGCGGGCACGATGTGCAACTAGCCATCGGCCTGCTCGTGCTCATCAGCACCGCCAGCGTCGGCATGGCCTACTACAACATCCGCTGTCTGCAGATCGAACAGCACCGTGCCTGGATGCTGCGCGCCATGTTCTACATGGGGAGTATCGTGACCGTCCGCCCTTTGCAGGAAATCACCTCCAGAATCATCAACAAGCTGGGCACGTACTACGCCGTCTGGTCGTGCGAGAAGATCGATTTCACTTGGAAGTTCTACAAGATCCCGGTCTCCTATCTAGTGGCGTACCCCATGTGTGCACCGCCGTCCAATGGCTCATCGCTGCCGCCTGGCTACGATCCGGTCGCTATCGTCAAGGCGGATGATAACGGCGTTGAGCCCGCGCAGATCGGTGCAAATCTTAGCATGTCCTTCGGGTTGGCGCTGTGGCTTGCGATGTTTATGCATATCGTGGGTGTGGAGATATACTTGCAACTGACGCCGCGGGAGAGCCAGCGACTGCGAATGGTGAGCTACGAGCGGCAGAAGGAGGCGGGGTATGCGAACCCTGGAAGCGCTGGGCTTGTTGTGCAGAAGTTTGGGGATGCGGAGTCCTGGGTTCCTTCAGTTGAAGCTGGTCAGCCTATTTAGGTAACATGCTAACAATTGAAATAAGGGAAATGAACTGAGATAGATTCACTTATTTCCTCGTATTTCAGGTAGCGGTTTTCATTGTTATTAGTGGCCTTGTGTATTGAAATATTTGGCTAGTTTGCTTTTGTAAAGTCTTCTTGTATTACATATTTCATTCATATCTGATATTCCATTAACGATACTCTGGAACAAGAAACACCTTTTTTGTTTACAATCCAGATTTCCGTTCTGCCTTCATGAATTCTTAACTCCTAAGCTAATCGTTGGTACGCCTCAAAGTTTTGTTGGCGATGTATCTTGGGTATGTTAATTGGTACCCGATAATGTGATGGGAGTCAAACATAACTGTGGATGCTAAAAGAATACAGCGCATATTCAATCAAGAGTAATGGCAAGAGGAGGAAAAGTCAAGAAACAAAATTACAGAGAGGAAACTAAGATGTTCTTTTGAAATAAAAAACCATTAGACATCTAAACGATTAGGCCGTCAAGTCCTTATCCGGTCCCTCATGTTGCCTTAGTCCTCTGACACCTCCCCTCCTTTTGCAGAAGTCTGCTCTGCCTTCATTTTCTTTTCCCAACTCTCTCGATAAGCTTCGAGCGCTCTAACGAATCCATCAAGCAACTCCGCATTTATAACCATGGTTGGGTCATTCCATAACCCTCCAAGCTCTGAGAGCACCCCTTGTGACAATTCCCTGGAGGATCCGCTTTTCTGCAACGCTAGCCGCATCGCTACAGCATAATGGAAATGGAGGAATCGACAGTTGGGCCTGAAATCGCATCCAGGTCTGAAAATGAGTCTCCGCCCATTCAACTCGTCGAATGTCATCTCCACTTTCACCCGCAGGTTCAAAATATTCGGGTCGAGGACGACAAACTTGTATTCGCAAGGGTGAGCTTCGATCGCATCTGGGACGATTGCAACCTTGTAGTCCTCGAAAGCAGATTTGAGGGCGGTTGGCAAGAAAAGCCCATTCTCTGCCCCGTGGATATTGCCATCAAATGCGTCCCCGAAGATCGTCGCCAGCTTCTCTTGCCCAATTTGGCGTGGGAAAATTTGTGCTGCACTCACGTCTGCCTTCTTAGCCCAACCCGTGATAGGGGACCAGACTTCGCCACCAGCTTCCGCAAGCCCGTACGCCCTTTCCATATCCGCCAAAAACCTCTCCTCCTCTTCCAACGTTAATTCTCTCAACAACAACAGAAAAAGTTCCGTGGCGTTATCGTTCTGTTTCTCCATGCTGCGGGCCCGCTCAGAATGAGCCTCTTGTGCGACAGATTTTTGATAGAGGTGCCACAGTTCCCTTCCAAGTCGTTCCCGCTCTGAGACGAATAAACCTTGCTCCAAGTAATAGTGCCTTATCAGGTCGGAGTAGGCTGGGTCATTCTCATTTGTGCTTTTGTATTTCCTTGACAATACGCGCCAATCCAATTGGCTCAGTGCGAGTTTGATGTTGACCTCCTGCAAGCGATAAGTCACACAGTCAAAGCTTCCATATGGGGCTTCGGAATATACATCGACAGCTGCCCTGAGCTTGCCGTCGAGCTCATCTCGAAGTGCCATTTCTTCGGTGTTGAAGTCGTCTGGACTCAGTTGTCCTTCTACGGAGGATTCTCGAGGGGTATCCTCCATGATTGATGAGGGGGGTAGACTCGCTACCACAACAGCAACAGTGCAGGGAGGGAAATTATCAGAACTCAATTCTTGAGTAATAAAAAAATTGAAATTTGATGGTAGAAGTTGAAAAGATAGAAGAGAAGGAGCTTGGAATATAAACAGGTATATCAAGGAGAAAGAGGAAGGAGAAGGTAGAAAGGTGGAGAATCTCCATCCGGATCTTTTCCACCGTTTGAGCATTGTGCTCAAATGAACACTTTATGAATTCACTGACAATTTAGCTCTGAGAAGCATCAACACTGAGCCAAGTTTGGTATCGTTTATCTTCCTTCCGTGTTGTGGAGTGGAGAGTTGACTCCGCTGACTGAGCAAAATAGGACAGAATTCCGCTCTCCTTCTACTTCACCTTGAATTCCATGGGATTATATGACCCAGAGAACAACCCTGATGGTTTTTCATATTCATAACAATGGCCCACTTCTTCATATTACTTCTCTTCCTCTCACTGTGTTGGAAAATGGAATAGACGAGGTAGTCGCTTCCTCCATGATCCCAATGCGGTGCCTTATGTCTGAGAATATGTAAAATTCGATTCCAATCCAGACTGGAAAGATAATAAATAGAATGTGCAAATGTTCTGGGGTTAATCAGTGCCTTGTCAAGATGTAACCTTGAACTGCTCAAGGTTCACAATGGATATCTTATTTGAAAGAAGTGGGCCTGCTTGGCTCCACTGCCATCGGAAGAAACCTGGGGGGTTGCAAAATATCCTCGAAAGAAGGACGGATTTGTCCTTCGAATCAACGCCCATTCCAAATCCAAAGTCTGGTTATCTGCATATACATATAGATCAACATCCTCTCAACACCCGACACTACGTCGGTCAGGAAACCTCCAGATGCCTAACAAGTATCGCAATTATTCATTGTACATGTGCGAATGAGCAATGATTAAATGGGGATGGCCTCGTTGACTTTTCCATTCCACTCCACCGGAGTCCCGAGCAACCTGTGGACATCAAGAGAGGCCTAGGTTAATTCAAAAGCCTATTCAATGCACCAAACTCCAGGTAAAGAGCAGTGTATTCACATTAGGGGAAGGGATTACGCACTTCGATCCTGTCTTTGTAGCCCAGCACCCGCAAAAGATCGACGCTGGCCACAACACGATCTGTATTTCAGCAATAGAAGGCGTTTTAAAACATATGGTTAGATACGTGTTTGCGTGTGTCGTTAAAAATAACAAACCATTCCATTCCATTGCAATGCCCTTCTTCTAGGAGCCAAACAACGGGGTGCTTTTGCTGGGTTAGATAGTATTTGCACGCACAGCACTTAGGACAGTCGTGAGAAAACCTATTTGTTTTTTTTTTAAAATAAATAAATAAAAGTGTTAAAAATACTTATGGAAGAACACACAATATTTCCTCCCCCCTCAAAAATACAGTATTTGATATAAATTCTTTGCTGATCATAGCAATTGAAGCGGCGGGGACATCCATACCTAAAGTGGGACCAACAACTTTGCAGCGAAACGGATTCTGGTCTGTTCCGCACTGGAAGCATAACGGAAATGGGATCCAAAACATTGTGGGAGGATCGGGGTATCCGGATGATAAAGTATCAGGACTCTCTGGTTGTTCAATAAATATTTCATCTATATCGTGAGTGCGCTCTCAAGAGACCATTTCCCTCCTGGTTTGAAACATCATATGCGACGCAAGCAAGCCAGGGACGGTAATTCTCCCCATATATACTCGTACCCAACGATTCCAACAACCTGGGAATGAATGGTCAGTATGACGTTGACGATTGGGAACCCGAAGCTTAAACTGCTTGGAACCCCGTCTCGCTATGATTTTGATGGCAAACATCTGGGGCGAAAACTGGTTTTCTCTGAGCGTTAGTTAAATAACTTAGTGGTCTGATTGGCCAAGCAAAAGATCTCCAGGGTACCAGGACTACAAATCGAACTACTAGTATATCTTTTTACTGCACAGAGTAATGGCATAAGGGGATGAAAAAATTACAAACCACAAAAATTGGGAAAGAAAGACATCCACTTTCGAACGGGTAACTATAAACTACGAGTAGCGAAATTTCCATCGGGCCGATCTTGTCCCTTGAAACATGATAGCGAATCTAATACATAAGTCTGAGCGTGTAGTCATTGAGGGCAGTTCATACTTCGTTATCGCGCCTATACACAACACGGCCTCGCTCTATGCCGCATCCTTCTTTTCTCCACCAGCAGCCGCCTGCGGCCCCTCCTCATCCTCCTTTCGAATTCGTTCCCTCACCTCCATCAACGCCTTCCCAAGCAAATTCAACCCCCAATGCTTCCTTCTCGCGCCAGCATTTTTCGCCCCAAATCCTACACCCCATATCCGATCTCGCGGACTAGCCTCTACGAGCTCCCTATCCCCCGTGGACAAAAGCTCCTCCTTGAGCTGCGAGTTCTGGGTGAATTTCAGGTAATTGCCTTCAACGACGATCGCATAGCGATGGGTCTTCCACACTGCGTCGTCGAAGTTGGGTATTTGCCGGCCTAAGCTTCTTAGATCTCGAGGATGGGGTGATGGAGAGTCTCGCGCGAGAATCTCCTGGGTGATAGGATCGTCTGGCGCGAAGAGGAGGCCCTTGCGGTGCATCATGAATCTAGATAAATAATTTTTTTAAAAAAGGGGGCCATGGTCAAATTTTGAATCTCTTTGTCTCTTCGAAATATATATATATATTTATATATATTTGTGGGTTTGTCTTTGGGGGCTGTAATTTTCTCACTGTTCAGCATTGCCATATTTGAGGATTTCAAAGTCGCCATGAGCGTCAGCGGGATTCCTGGCCCAAGTAAAATCCGACGGATACCATTGGCCCAGGTAGCCATTATCTGATTCTGGTTTCCAAAAGTACACTGGTTCAGAGTCCTTGGGACCCATTGTCGAAGTGTTTCTGGCCGGGATAAAGTGCACCGAAGGGAAGAATTGATTGTCTATACCGATACAAGTGTTCGAGGATTTCAAATTCTGGCAAGAAGGCCTCCTCATAAAGGTCAAGGTCCAGGTCAGTCAAGAAGAAAGCCTTTGATGACACAAATGGGACGACAGAAACACGAGATCGTTGGCGATTCTTAAGAACATGGGTCCCTGGTTGGGCTTGACTCATCCCTGCTTCCCCAGGTCTAGGCACCCGCCCGCCTCAGAATGCTTAAGTTGTGGCTGCCAAACCCCATGTAACTCTTGTCATCGGCTGAAGGTTCCCACAGCTCAAACGACAGACAAATCTGTAAAACATACAAATCTTGTGGAAGGTTTTACCACTACGCCAAAAGGATCAATCCTTAAGGTAGCCACCTGCTCCTCAAGATACAGTTATATATGTATATGCATGGTTCACAAAATCTGCCTCTCCGTCAGTATCAAGCCTGCTAAAAATGTTCAAAGAGGATATTTGATTGACAACCCGAGGCCCTGCGCATGATCATTCCTTTCATTTCTCTCGTTTTCGTGATTTGCTCAGTAAGATTTACTGACTCATCGACGCGGGATAGCTCGACCTGTGGCTGTGTGATCTCAATACCCCTGACACCCGCAGTACGGCGTATCATGTTTCCACTAATCCTGGCTGCCGCAAGCCACTGCTATGACGTCGGGTGAGCAAAATTCGCGAGCTGCAGAAATATACAACAGGCGTTGACTGAAGCATTTTCGGCGAGAGGAGCGTTTTTATGTGTGCCTTTCCCGGCGTCACATCGGCAGGTTCCTTAGCCAGGGCTTGTCAGAGGGGAAACACAGAAAGTTGGCAATGGTCTTGACCAGGATCCCTTCAATCAATGATGTTTCACGCAAAATCCCCTAGTCGTATATCCACCTTTTGCGTCCGCTAACAGACGAACCATGCAAAAGTACGAAGGCTGAGAATGGTTCTGGAATATGACTGGTTCACTGCCAGGGACCTTTCCTCATCAGTTGGCAATGCCTTGAACGATGCTGGCCTTACCAACCCAATGGCGCCCGACCTAGAACGTTGAAGCAGGCGACTAAGAATTCCTGAGCAACACTTTGAAAGGAGCTGCGTGTTCATATTTATCAAGTTGGAAGTGCCACTTTTCGCTCGCTATTTTATTTTTCGTTGTTCTCCGCCTGCCTCCCTCCCCACTCATTCATCATCGAAAATCTCGCTAGTGATTTCTTAGAACTTTCCACACGCCTTGATCTTTTCACACCCAAATTCCAATCACCGCACTCTTCCTTTCTCTTTCATCAGTGTCATCCACTATCCACTCCCATCCAGACAAGGGTCGCATTCATTCTACTCCCCCCGGGTCCCATTCCGGGTCCCCGCCCTGCCCCGATATCAAATAACCTTAGTCAATCAAACCCCATTGTTTGATCTGGTTTCTCATCTTGATGTGATTGCTTGCATTTCTCCACATTTAATACCGCGCAGGCACGCGGCACCAGCGCGTGTCCATTGCTTATCATTTGATTATTGACTAAGCCTTCGGCCCTTCAGACCAGCGCCAACGCTAACACCCACGCGCACCAACAAATATCCAGTGAGCTAGCAAAATAAAACCAGAGGAAAAAGAAACGAAGAAGAAGCGAAGAAGAAGAAACGAAGAAGGAGAAGAGAAAGGAATCTGAAGGGGTGGGGAAATAATAACCGGACAAGCCCAATGGAATCAAATCGACTAATCCCGCTCCTGATTCTGTTCGTCGTCGTTGCCATCCTAGCCGTCGTTGGCTTCGTGGCCTGGAACATCATGATGGCCGTCACGGCACAGACGAAGAAGGAAATGGAAAAGAAAAACGTTTCGATGTCGCGGGATGGGATGACGGTTGGAGTCAGGGAACTGAATGACGAGGAGTATAAGGATATTAGTCAGGGGTATGCATATCTTTTCTCCCTCTTTGGCATCTTTTTTATTTTCTCCTCCTCTTCCAGCTGGAGTTGGAAAAAGGGTGTATATACCTTTTTTCAAGTTGCACTTCCTCCTTTCCCCTTTTTCACATAAAACAATGCATCGGTTCATTAACCTGCCGTCCGATCTTACTTAATTTAACTCTACATCTCACTTTTCTAACATTCTTTACTAGTGTCCTGGTCAACATCTGGAATTACAGTTCGTTCCCCGCCTACAAGAGACGCTGGTGGAATGGCGGCAGCGACGGCAGCAGCAGCTGAACTGGGTCAAAAAGAAAATAAGAATGATGAATTATGGAGGAAAAATCGTTTGTAAAGTCGACCCCTTCTTCTTTATATTGTTGTTTCTCATATTGGTACGCTGTAAGTGTCTATGGTAACCAACATCACTATATTTTATATGTCAATGTGGATGTCATTCTTTTACTACACTTTTTTTTTTTGGTATGACTGTTGTATATATATATATATATATAGCTAACATATCCTCACACAGTTGCCACAAATATGCTGCCCCGCTCCTCTCAGCCCTCCCCACGGCGCTACTATAGCGGTTTTCCTCCCTTCTTACTCTGTACTTTCAGTGTTCTCTCTTTTCAGTTTCCTTTCCCCCCCGCCTCCCACCACTCCCTTCCCGCAATGTACTCGAGTTGACTTCCCCCTAAGTGTCAACTCTGTACACCTCTACACGCGTCAATGACGATTATGATGCTGTAACTGTTTTGTGGAATTTCCAATATATGATATCCGTTTACTCTTTCTTTTGCTTTTTTTTCTGTTTATTTTAACTTGTACTTTTCACCTGGGCAGTGTTTATTTTGTAAACGATTAGTGCTGCTACTATTGTTATCGTCTTTTATCTTAATTCCATTTGCTCCCTATTCTACATTCAATGAATACTTTCTTGTTCTTTTGTTTTTATTTTTATTTTTATTTTCATTTATTATTATTATTATTATTATTATTATTATTTCAAATTATGAAGCAGAAAGAGGAGAACGCGGACGCAATCCCGTTATCTATTCAGTTTCCGGGTTATAGGCAGCTATCCCGATACGATACCATGGGTAGTCCCGTACGCAGAAGCACAGACCAAGAATAGAGCAATGAACTGACAGGGGCTAGTGCCATGGATATGCATTGCATAGTTGGGGAGAGAGAGAGAGAGCAGGGGGTGGGGAAGAGGCGAAATGCTGTTGAATGATGTGAAGTTGAAATGTGGAAACTCCCCTACCTTCCAGTGAAGTTCGATCCTACTGAATTAATAGGTTCCCTGAAGCCAATGGCTCCTTTGGAGGAGGTGGTATACCTCCATTTTCTATGTGAGGAGAAACGCTGGGAAAAGTGAAGTGGCATGGTACGGCAATGCCATGGTAAACCGTAGTTGGGTATTTGGCTCTTGGGGTGTGCTCGATTGAGGTTTCATTTTATACAGCGGGAGAGCAACCGGCAACCGGCCAGTCACTCAGTTCCGGCGCACATGTACTATACATACCTACGTGCAGTACATACGTCTACCAATGAACACCTCCTTCCCCCCCCCCCGCTTGTCTCTCTCTCCTCGGACGAATTCGCTTTTCAGAAAAACAAAAAGTGGAAAACATTTCTCGGTTAACAATTAAATCTGCGATTGGAGCTTCTGCTTCTGCCGCCGGAGCTAGTTGTTGGAGGGAGTGAGAAACCCGGGCAAGGAATGCAAGAAAGCCTGACATCATGTTGTGGGGTGATCGCCAAGCAGTTTGCGGGTGAGGCTTGACGCGGCAGCTTGGCATATTCCCCGGCGCTGCTCACGTCTCAAGCGCGGGAAGCTCACGGAATCTCAATGAGGGAAGCTCGTCGGCTCAGTCAGGATCCTCCCTGCCCTTGGGCGTGCAATACGAACAACAACATAAACAGGGCACATCTGTGTGGTATTCATAGAGGCAGCCGGCCCCTCTGTTTCACGAATTGTATCAAGCGCCGTAGGCTGAAGAATGGCTTTCACCCGTTAAATCATATCAACGCTCTGCGTTAGGCTTGAGCTTAGGGAATCATTCCAGAGTTTGCGGGCTCGGGTCTTAATGTCATTGAGGAAAACTGCCAGCGGTCCTCGCCATGTCTAATCTAAGGTGAAGTGTGGCGACACCAATCTGCTCGCGGGCCTGCTCCCTGGCCCCGTCGGAGCGGAAAAGGTGGAAGATCGAATTGCGATGACGAAGCGTTCGATGGTGCCGTCCTCGGGTACAAGATGGAGAATATTGATTATGGCACCGAACTTGCCAACGGGGAGCACATAAGGATAGCGAGAGGGGGAGATGGGGCAATTATGGCACGCATGATTGTGCGAGTGAAGGGCGTTAAGTGAAATGAAGTTGTTGATGCTTCACCAGCTGTAGTTCCCCAATTTGAATACTACCGCTATCTACCGGGGTGGCTTGCAGAATCCACCTTCAGAATATATGAAAAACACCTCGCAGAGTTCGATATAACTCGTGGGGACATCTAGACATTAATATTAATATATATAAATCCTCATATAGCTGATGTGGAGGCAGTTAACCTCCTGCGGACGGAGGAAGGTTTCAAAATTTTTGACTCCCACTAATAATTTAAACTGAAATGTTTATATTGGCACCAAGTATTGCCATTCCATCTCAATTGAGGACTTGTGTCTTCCAGAGGGCTTTAGAGGTGATATAGTGCCTGTGGCTTGCTCACTAGCTCACTGAACATTGCCGACAGCTCCAAGCAAGGGATCTATACACGAGTAATAATATTTCAAATTAACTAGTTGGTGATAGCTCACTAGGATTAGAATTTAGCGCTAAGCTCCACAGAAGAGCTCTCAACATCAGTAATAAAGTATCTCAACGAATAACCTTTACTCCTAGTATACATCACCAAAGCGCTATGATAGAGAATGAAAGAATTTAAAGATAAAAGATTTGTGAGGATTGACTGAATATTTGAGCTAGATGTGTGATGTTGACAAAAAAAAAGGTGATACAGATCGCCATATATATCTTGCATGAGACGGATGTGATTTCTCACAAATGATGAGACTGTTTATTCTCTGAACTTCTCCCTGGGAGGAACCACATTTCGATATAGCGCGCATTGACGCCGCTGCCACATTTGAACCTGGGCAAGTATCTGTAGAAGAGTCCGGTTCCAAGGGTCAGAGAGCTGTAAACCTTGGACAACCCAACAATGTTTGAAACAAAGATTCACACAAGGCCCTGGCCAGCCCTGAGCGAAGGATCTACACTGCGTGTGGGATCAGCGACCAGCTGCGCTGGCTGCAGCTGCCGTCCACCAGGCCCGATAAAGCACGGATTCAAGCAGCGTTGGGAGGTGCTGATGAGCTCAGCTATCTCATAGCTAGTTAGTTAGTTACCAGACAGCGAGTGAGCAAACAACCAACTCCCAAACAGGACCCTCGCAGCAGGTCCTAGCATTTCTCTACTGGGTGGCCACCTCGTGGTGGTACATGTACTGGATTCGATTTAGGTTAGCCATGACCCCAAGTTATCGCTCCCCCACGTTCTCTACAAATATCCCCCCACAGCCGTTTAAGCAACGGTGGGCTAATGGGACAAGAAAACATACTGTCACTTCCATCTAGTTTGCGCTCTCTTCGTTTGCCCTTACATCGACCTCCTCTACTCTCCTTACCTTGTATGGGAGCACAGTGGCGTCTCGACTATCTTTGTCACTAGATATTGCCACAAATTATATCGCAGCAAAGAGAATAGATCTAAGGAGACAGATTAAAAGGAAAAGAGAAGGGAGGAGAAGCAAAAAACAATGTCCGGCAACGAACCCGCAGACCCCATACCCAAGGCCTTCATCACCGCCGCCAAACAGGCTGTGGGTGACCTCTTCCGCTGGAAAGTTCGTGTCGAGGTGACAGCTCCTAACGGCGAATCCTTCTGCGAATGGCAAGATCCGCCACGGATCCGGAATCCCCTCAGCCTCTGCGCCCAGCTCAAGGCACGAGACTGGCTGTACTTCGGCGTCGGCTTGTTCGCCTGGATCGCCGACGCCTTCGATTTCCACGCCCTATCCATCCAAACCGTGAAACTATCCAGATACTATAACCAGACGAAGACTTCCATCGCCACCGCTATCACGCTCACGCTGCTGCTCCGGTCGGCTGGAGCCGCTGTTTTTGGCATGGCAGGTGACAGGTGGGGGCGAAAATGGCCCATGGTCCTCAACATGGTTGTCCTGGGCTTCTTGCAGATCGCCACTATCTACAGCGCGACCTTCCAGCAATTCCTGGCCGTGCGCAGTCTGTTCGGCCTCTTCATGGGCGGTGTGTATGGCAATGCCATCGCCATTGCGCTGGAAAATTGCCCCGTGGAAGCGCGCGGGCTCATGTCCGGCGTCCTCCAACAGGGGTATTCGATGGGTTACGTCTTCGCAGCATGCGCCAATCTGGGCGTGGGCGGCTCGACGGAATCGTGGAAGATCGTCTTCTGGATCGCAGCTGGCCTGTCGTTCCTCGCTGGGGCTCTTCGCGTCGTCCTCCCGGAATCCAAACAGTTCCGCGACGCGAAACGGGCCGGGACACACCGCAACACGTCTCCGGGCGCCTTCTGGCCGATACAAAGTCAATGCTAGCCAAGGAATGGCGCTTGGTGGTCTACTGCATCATCCTCATGGCCTGGTTCAACTTCTACAGCCACACGTCGCAGGATAGCTATACAACTTTCGTGCTCACGCAGAAGCACCTAGATAATAGCCGCGCCAGCCGCGCCAGCATCTTGATGAAAGTGGGTGCTTGCGTCGGCGGCACCATAATAGGTTACATGTCCCAATTCCTCGGCCGTCGGCGCTCCATCATCCTGGCCGCGCTGATGAGCACCCTGTTGATCCCTGCCTGGATCCTCCCGGAAGGCGAACACAGGCTCTCCGCATCGGCGTTCTTCATGCAATTCTTCGTCCAGGGCGCGTGGGGCGTGATCCCCATCCATCTCAACGAGTTATCTCCGCCAGAGTTCCGCTCCAGTTTCCCCGGCGTCACGTATCAGCTTGGAAACATGATCTCATCCCCGTCGGCGCAGATTGTCAATGCGATCGCAGAAGCGAATTCTATGCGGGGAACGCAAGGGGAGCCGGAGCCGGCGTATGGGCCGACGATGGGGGTTGCGACGGCAATTATTGCCGTGGGTATTGTGGTTACGACTATGTTTGGGCCGGAGAAGAGGGGGAGGAAGTTTGAGCAGGCGAAGGTAGCGGGGACTGTAGAAACGACGTTTGCTGGGGAGGTTGATGCTAAAGCTGTTGAGGCCGAGGATGGGGTTGTGAAGGAGATGGAGAAGAAGTAATGTGATTTTCGAAGGAAGTGAGAAGAGCTTCTAATAATAAATGAGCAATGATATCTTTTTGTTTGATAAATCGGGATAAAATAGAGGAAACTACAATTCATTTTCCCCCCTTCTTTTATTGAATGCACAGCAATGCTGAGCATATAAGCTACCTCTGCGAACACTGCGCAAATATGTTTCCAAGAAGACATAATCTTTGAATCAAGCATATGAGGGGGGTAGTCCTCCGCACATGGGTTAGAATTAGGGACTAACTTAGGGGCTTGGCAGCTACTCGCTAACGCTATTTCTGATACATACATAGTACAGTGGTGTCCAATAAGTCAGTGTACTAGCGGCTTGGTGCTGAGAACCCCTCTTCTTACCCCTCTTCTTCAAAGATTCCTCCATCATCCAACATCCCCCCTATACATCAAAAGATGCCCTCAAAACTGAAAACATTGCAGAGAGAACACTCTCCAGCTATTATTAATACTATTTTGAATCTTTGAAAGCAGGAATATTTATTTCTAGATATAGCTTGAATTTAGAGCTCTCTCACTTCATCATATTCTCTATTGTTTATTGTGAATCTTATCAAATAGATGAAGAAAGTTCTAAAAAATATTCTGAAAGATCTTCTAAGCTCTCTGTCTGTAATCAATATCATCTTATTCTCTCTGTAGAGAAGAATCTCTTCCACTCTCTAGTCAGCTTTCTTATATTCTCAAAATCTGGCTTTTATATTTGCTGAAATACAGCAAGACAGTATTTTGAAAAGAATGAACAATATATCTTTAAACTGCAAAAGAAGCTCTATTTAAAGTCTATACACAAGAAAGTTTGAAGAGTTTTTGATATTCAATATAGAAATTGAGCTGATGAAGATTTCTCTTGTGTAAGCTTCTCAGATAAAGTTTACTTTAAGATTGAATTGAATATATCAAGTTGCTATGTTCATCATTCAGTTGATAAAGATTATGAGAGTAGATATCTACTCTCTATTTTCAAATCTGAGTGTATCTCAGTGAGTGTATGGAGAGCAATAAACTGAGATTTCAAATCTAAGCTGATTTTTATTCCATTGAATGTTCAGATGAATTCTAAGAAGTATATTAAAATTATACTTTCTAAGAATTTCGATTTGCATTGAAGCAGCTCTTTTCCATGGTCTTCACAACTGTTTTCCATGGCTTAAATGCAGTACACTCCACCCACAGCCTCATCACCCAATCTCCACACACTGACCATGCAATCACATGATCACTTCAGCACACACCACAACATTCTGCAACAGAGCCATCAGAAACAATTTCCCAATCACTCACAGTCTTCACTCATCATCTAGCCCACCCACCAGTGACTATAGCTCTACATAAGATTCATCATCTCTCTAAAGCTCAGTCCACTCTCCCATCCTCCAAACATGAAAGGATAATATACACTTCTCTGCACCCCATCCATGATCAGTCTCCATCCACTCCACAGAGAGTGTCTCTCCCCTCCTCACTCCTATCATCATAGCCCCCACCACTCCATACTGCTGAGAAGTCATTTGCTGTGGATGCACACAGTAAATCTGACTGTGGGCACAAGACTGAGTTGACTAACTCAGACACAAATCCCCAGACACTCACAGAGGCAACAAATCACACAAGGCCAACACTGATTTCAGACCACACCCACATCAATGCACAGCACAAAGAGATCAATCAATACAGCTCTTCATCAAAGCTACAAGAATCCTCTGAATGATATAGATAAGAATCTGTCAGACATCCCATTCAACTATAGCAGTTCCAAGCAGACTAAGAAACTCAAGTTGCAGACAAGAGATCATTGACAGTAGTGAGTACTCTATACATTGTTGAGAACTGTGTACTGTGTTCAGCACTCACATCAGAAAGATATTGCACAGTGAAGATATTCAAGTCAGCTGTCAATCTGCAATGATTTGATGCAGAGAAGGCTCTTCAGAGAGTGTTCACAAAGAATTTGCATCAATTCTGAAACTGAGTTCTTGGAAAGCTGAAATATGAAAAGGAAGACTGCAAACTCAAAGATATCAAGAAGACAAATTTGCTCAAGAGCAACTGAAAGTATTTTCAAGACTATTATAGAAAAATGACAGAAAATGAAATCAGTGAGAAGATGAGTGAAGATATTCAGTAAATACATCTATACAATACTCTTCTGCATCTTCATATGGCACTGACATCTCTGCTGATAGAGCATACAGTCTCTGGCTGATAAACACAGTCTTAACAATCAGTCATACAAGAACATTTTCATCTACATCAAGAATATAATTCCCTTCAACCAGACAATTCTTCAGATACAAAAGAAGCAATTTCATCTGAAACTGCAACATCTTCTGCTGTGCTTCTATAACATACTGAGTCTGTTTACAGTCAATTAAGAGAGTGCTATTCTGAACCTTCAATACAAGAATCTGCTTCTGTCTGTGCAGAAGAATTCATATAAAGAACTCTCTGTATCAACAGTCAACTTCAGATCAGAATTTATCAAGCAAAATCTGAGAATGAAGAAACTGTATATGATCTGACATTACTCTGCACAAGTGTGTCATCTTCAGTTTATTCATCTCTTCAATACTAACAGTGGGCACAGCAACACATTTGTATTGCTGAAGATTATCTTCAATGTCTCACTTATCTTCAGCCCACATATCTTTCTTTTCAGCTTTCTGTTTCACACTGAGACATTCAAGAACTCTAGTCTTCAATCAATGAAGAACATTCAAAAGCTGATTTCTGCAAATGACTGTCAGAAGATATCATTGTCTCTGAAGTAGAAGATGAATAACTGATACATCTTCTGCAAGATTGATATTCAGAATGAACAGATTTGCATTCTATACAATACACTCATAAGTGCAGACATGCTGGATTCTCAGTTGAAGAGTATGAGTGAAATTCATGAATTTCTCAACACATTCTTCTCTCATCAGTTTCACTACAGTGGGGGCAAGCTGCTTGATAAGAGTGGTTAGTAGCAGCCTTCTTATCCCCTCACAATGTATCTCAGATAAAAGAAGAAGATGCTGACAGAGAGTCAATGATCAGAATTTGTCAGTGATTCACAGAAAAATGTGATCATGAACCACACTATCAACCACACCTTCATCATCTACTATCATATGCAACACCACATCGGCCTGCAAGAAGTCATATGTGATCTTGAATCAGATGAGATGTTCTCATAAGTATTAACTCAAATAAGTCAATGAATCAACAGATACCAGCTCTGATATCTGACTGATGCTGAGAGAGTCTCTGTGAAAGAGAACTCTGAACTGCAGACAGTCATTCATATTCAGAAAGATCTGATTGATCTCTACACACACACACAAGATGCTGCACTTATATCATTGCTATAAGAGTGACAGCAGAAGGTCAGCAACATGCAACAGAGGCTGCAGAATCAGCTAAAGTATAAGATACACTGAGAGTTCAGCTGAAAGCAGACAGTGATCAATATTGAACACCAGCTGTCTGAGTTTGAATCAGTGCTTGACAATGAGAGTGCTCAGAAGATGCTGCAGACAGAGTTTGAAATACTACTGACACAGATTCATCTCTTGAAGAAGCTTCTGATCTGACCCACATCAGACTCTCTGAATGACAAGTGATGACAATAGAATGAGACAGTTGAGGCAGTGAAACAGTACTGTGGCTTTCTTGAAAGTAATTCTCTGCAAGAGTGATCAAAGCAAGTGATCTCATCTGACAGCTCTCTCAGCACAGATATCTCATCTCAGAAGAAGATCAGACAGAAGAGTTGTCTGTCTCCTTTCTTACAGAAGAAGAAGTGCCTCACAGTTGATGATCATCATATCTGATTCACATCAGATCTTCTGACATGCTTTCAGTGTGGAAAAAGATACACTCAGCATATAGAGGTCATTCAGCACTTCTGAATCACACATCTCAAGAATTATTAATGCACCCTCTGCAACCTCACACTCCTCCATGAGATGGATCTGCAGAAACACACCACAGTTATTCATGATGTCAGTACACAACCTCACAGTATTCATTGATTTTATATCTCCTGTCATTCTCTTACCAATTTTGTGCTTGTATAGACAATAAAGCTTAGATTAACTTTTCAAAAAGAGCTTAGTAATCATTTCAAATTCATTGTAATTTACAACAAGCTGAATCTTTCATCTATTCTATTAGAAAGCCTCTTCTGTGACAAAAATCCTCTTGAAAGAAATCCTCTTGAAATAATCTGATAATGTATTATAGTAATAGCATCTGAGCTCAGAGATGATCTGACACTGTAAGAGTTTTCACATTGAGTCTCATATATCAATGAACATTGTATAGAGAGTAGTGTAATTAGTGATCAAGCACTTGAGCTGTTTGATAGCTTCTGACTTCCCAAAGAAGATCCTCAACCAGAGAATGCAATAACACCACAACTGAAAGAACCTTTTTCTGAAACAACATCACTTCAGAATTAACCTCAACAATTAATCCAGTTCAATCCTGCAAATTTTATACAACATCAACTACACAATATCTATTACAAACATCACACAATAAAAAGCTCTGGGGATCAGATCTTGAAGAAGAGAGATAATTGTAATAGAAGTAATGAAAGTATCTATATTAGAAAATAGCTAGATGATGATATAAGAATATAGAACACATCAGAATCATGATTGATATAGTATATTATAATGACAACACTGTCTATATAATACTCACTAATATCTGTAGATCTTAGAAGATCAGTGATTAGTTTTGAATATAAGAGATTGCTATCTTGTTAATATCTTTGTGCATACTTCACACTGCTCTATAGCTACTCTTGTAGTGCATCTCTTACAATTCTAATCACTCCAGCAGCAGCTAACTAATATATGTAACAGTATAGCACTTCTTGTACAAATGAAACTGCATGAACAAAAATCACCAAACAGATCCTTAGTATAGAAAGATACATTGTTATGTTTGTTTCATTTATTTATTTCTCTTTAGTGAAAACTA